AAAAAAAAAAGATACAAAAATATCGAAGAGTGTATAGTAAAATGCCTTTTTATACTCTTCCTCAGTCCCCTAATTCTCCGAAGGGACACTCCTGTGACCAGTGTTTGTATACCCATCCAGAGCTTGTCTATGTAAATACAAACATGCATGCCTCCCCCTCTTCCTTAGAAACAGCACACTATATATACTTCTTCTGCTCCTTGCTATTTTCACTCAGCACACAAACATGGAAATTGTTCCATATAGTTCCTTTAAGAGTTACCACATTCTTTTTAATGGCTCATGCTGGCCCATTACCTACATGTGTCATTATTTGGCCAAAAAAAAAAAAAAAAGGACCAAGGGTCTTGTGTTAGTTAACCTTCCTTGCCTAAGTCCTGACACAATGCAAGGGCTCAGGAAAACATGCAATGCTTGCTTGCTCACAAATTAATTACATTTTGTACAACTTGCTCATGTTTTCCCTCCTCTCTCCTTTTGGAGGTAACAATATTCTTTTCAATATTCCAGATATTTATATAATGTATATATTCCCCCACAACCAAGTCTGTCTCATGCACTGTTCAACATTGCTACCTGATCCAATGCCCATCTTAATCTAGCTCCTCTTATATAACATTATTCCCCACTACTTCCTATTTTCTAATGCTCTGAGTACCACTGTCATGTGTAAACGTTTATCGATCACTTGCTATGTGCAAAAATTTTTTTTTCTACTTTCTGTTATCCCTACCTCTATGTCATTGCTCATAGATTTTCCCATCCAGATTTTCCTTCCTGATCCTGCCCATTGTTCTACCTCTGGTTCTTTTCTTTCCGAACTTTTTTAGCTTATGTGGTCAGTGCTTCCCTAGAGTAGCAGGCAATTTTTTTTCCATAATTATTTCAAGTAAGAGCTTTATGTATTTCTATGGCATAACTCTGGCACAGAGTAGGTCCTCAGCAGAACCTGCGTAAATGAGAATCTCTTTCTGGTCCTCCTGGGTTTTCTCTCCATCCTGCCTTTGAGGAATTGCTCTTGGCTTTCTCGTTATCTTAAGGTCACTTCAGACATCCCCCTCCCGGCTGCTCTCCTTTAAAGGAAGTGCTCTTGAGGAGAGGTCCAGAGATCCTGGAAGAAAGTGGGTCTGGGTTCAAACTGCCATCCACCAACTTTATGACTTTGGCTTCTCTCAGTCTGTTTCCTCATCTGTCCTTCTTTGACCCCTCAGTAATTTCCCCTATCTTCCCTCAATCCAAGTATTCTCTGTCACTTTACCTCATTAGTTTCTTTCATCATAGCTATCACCAGTTCTCATTGATGGGGTTTTGGATTATAGGTGAGGTTCAGTGGGGTGGAGTCCGGAGCTGATGACTAAGAAAGAATTCTTGAGACGCCTTTGGTGCAAAATGGTGGTTTATTAAAGCACAGGGACAGGACCCATGGACAGAAAGAGCTGCTGCCCCAGGGGTGTGAGGGGTGGCTGATTATATACTTGGGAGTTGGGGGAGGTAAGAAAAAGGGAGGTTTCAAGAGGATTTTTGTATGTTAAAGAAGACTCACAGGATACCAGAGGTCTTGCCATTGTCAAGTTAAGGTTGTTTATCCTTCTAGGAAGGCATAAACAGTAAGATAGTTGGGAGCTTCCTGGAGAAACATTACACTTTGCCCGCTTCAAGTATCTGTGAATGGGCTGCAGATTATAAGGACATTTCATTGTATCGACATTCCCTTCTGGAAGCTAGGCCATTGAAAGAAAGGCTTTGTCCTCGTAAAATTGCTAAGACTTTTGTAAACTGAGGGAGACTCCTGTCCTGCACGACTGTGATCTCTATCAGTTAACCATTTGTTTTTCCTTTAGGGCAGCCAGGAGTGCCTGCGCAGTGTCACACATACCACATGGGGGTGGGGGTGTAGACTGTCAGCTTTGGGTTGGTCCTCAGCGAGCCTTCTGCTCCCGCATCATCATCATCATCCTTTTATTTCCTACTTGAATGCTTGTTTACCTGTTTTACTGTCAGTCCCTGCCACCAAATGTTAAGCTCCATAAGGCTAGGAACTTCATCTGCTTCCAGTGCATCCTCCAGGGTCAACAAAGGACACAGCATGTAGCAAATGGACCATAAATATAGCCCGCTGGATGAACACCTAATCTCCTCCTGGACTGAGAATCAAAAGACTCAAATCCTGGTCCTATCTCTGGGAGCTGGGTGACTTTACTTGGTTCCTTTCTGTTAAACTGGGGGAATGTATTAGAACATCTTTATGGACCCTCACAGATTTGGACATTTAAAGGTCTATGATTATTATGGGTAGTTTTAAAACTTTTGTCATGTTAGTAGACTCTGAGGGAGAAGGAAAATCAAATGAGATATGAATAAAATAGATTTGATGTCTATTTCTAGATAAAAGAAAGAACTCTGATCTCTGATTTCATCAAAGAACAGAGGTGTGTTTTTTTTTTTTCAGGTTGAAAACAATACTCAAATGCTTAGTTATGAAACATGACATTTGCTTTATATTTAGGGGAAGTCTGATGATCTTGATAATTTCCAAGAGTCCAAAGACGGGTTTTCTATTCTGTACCAAGGGAAAAGGCCAGCTGGGGGCATTCTTCATTTGAATTTAAAGGTAAATGTATAAGCTGATAGAAGACATTTGACAAAGTGTCAGACCTTGGCTAAGCTTGGTGTGTGTTGGTGGCTTTTAACAATGGGATCAATTGACAGGCATCTAGGTATATCAGCACTCTAATGGGTAAAAAGTTTTTTGAGACTTGAGCTCAGAGGGTGGTTACAGTGGAACAAACCGGGAGGCATTTACCTTCTTTTCCATTTTCAAAATATTTCAAACCCCAAAAACAGTTGACCTTGAATTGTGTGGGTCCACTTAATTAATAGCCCACTGTTAACCAGAAGCCTTACTGATAACATAAACAACTAACACATATCTTATATGTTATATGTATTATATACTGTATTCTTACAATAAAGTAAGCTAGAAAAAAATGTTGAAACCATAAGGAAGAGAAAATGAATTTGAAGTACTGTGCCATGTGGAAAAAATCCACATGTAAGTTTTGGGGGAGTCAAAAGTTGTACCCTAATCCCTGCACTGTTCAAGGGTCAACTGTATATATTTAAAATTTTAGGGGCGCCTGGGTGGCAGGCTCAGTTGGTTAAGCGGTTGCCTTCAGCTCAGGTCATGATCCCAGGATCCTGGGATCTTTGCTCACAAGAGAGCCTTCTTCTCCCTCTCCCTCTGCCTGCACGCTGCTCCCCCTGCTTGTGCTCTCTATCTCTTTCTCTGTGTCAAATAAATAAAATCTTTAAAAAAAATAAAATTTTATCTTCCCACACATACTTTAAGAAATGCATCCCATTAGATTTAGTATTTAGACTTAAGAATAACAGAATGCCTTGGCTGGCCAAGGATCTTCTTGGGAGACCCATTTTACAACCAGTGTTTCAACTTATTTAGCCTATAATCTCCTAGCTGAGATTTGTTTAAGCCTTACTATTTATAGTTTGTAGTCCAAAAACGATAGCTATTTTTTCCCCCAAATAGTACATTATATTATTGAATATAATCTTCTCCAACTACCCTCTCATTTGTTTGGGACCTCCCTCCCTTTGAGCAGTAGTGATTTACACAATTATTCTAATTTTGCAGTAGCATAACTACAGCGTGAACTCCCTTGTTTCCAGCAAACACTCCGATGCCTCCTGAAGTACAAGCCGTCTGTGTTTTTCATTTCTCTTCAATAACCTGAGAAATGAACACCCAGTTCTGGGTAGAGGGGAGGGGGGTTGGGGAAATGGAGATGGTGTGTTTCCTGTTTGATTGTTTCAGTGCACACCAGGCCCATTGCTGCAGGAAAAAACAAAAATCCAAGAAAGGACTGCAGAGGATGCTCTTCATGTGACTAGCTCCTCATAGAGCTGTCCTCTCCAGAATCTAATTACCAGCGGGTGAAAGACTATAAACCCACGAGACGGGTGGGGTGTGGGAGTGTTTTGCCTGCCTTCTCCATGCCAGTATTGCTCAAAGGACTGATTGTTAAGCCTTCACCGGAGCTAACACAATGAGTATCTCCGGGATAGCAACAGAGACAGGCCAGAAACAATTGTTTATTGAATAGACTTACATATCTTCCTCAGTGCGGGGTGTTTTTTCCATTTATTAATACAGCAACAACCTTATGAGATAGTTACATCCCTATGCAACAGATAAGCAGACACTCACCTGGAGGGGGCAAGAGGAATGGGGTTCGGAAATGCATTTGATGCTCTACTCTGGGGAGTGGGGGTGGGAGTTCACCTCCCCGGGGAATAACTTTTGGGAATCCAGTTTGAAATTGCCACTGAAGGCCTGCTCTGCCTCCGGCCTCGGAAATGGAAGGACTTTGTAGAAACCCCTTAGGAGGAAATGTCTAAAACCAAAAAGGCCCAGTATCTTGGGAGTAAATTTGCTATCCACTTACCAACAGCCCCCTTCAAGGGAAGGCACCTAGCGCTATGGCTAGAGTCCTGCTTTGGGCCGTCCGCACCTGCCTCAGAGACAGGGTGGATCTCTAGCCGGACAGGCCAGGAGGGAGGCTCGGAATTGACAGCTGTGTGCAGGAAGCCACGGCCGGAGAACGTGAGGCCGCGCTGCAGCCGAGCCCGCTCCAATGCGGCCAAGGACAGGCGCTGGCCGATCGCCCTCTTTCCAAGCAGGGTTCAGAGGATCAGGGGGCGGGTGGAGGCTCTAGGGGCTCCTAAGCCAGGCCCAAGCCCAGTGCTCTCGCAAGGAAAATGTGCAGAGCCTGCCTAGCGCCCGCCGTCTCCGAGCTTCTCTTCCCCCGCGGGAGGCCGTGTCTTCTTTGTAACTCGAGCAGGCCCTGGCGGGCCGGTTGCTGTGGTAACGCTGCCCGCCAACTCTGTGAGGCGGGGAGGAGGGAGGCGGGTCTCGCCGGACGTCACCCAGACTCGGTTTGGGGGTGCTGCCCCACCCCCAACTAATTGTTTGCCAGAGAGGAAGCCGAGAGATAGATGTTTTGTCTGTGAGGGGTCCAGGGGGCTGCATTAGTACAAGGAAGGGGGTGAAGATCCGCTCCTGCCGACGATTTTAATGGTCCATCAAAGCAAGGCGGAGAGGGCGTTGCACTCTGGGGGATTTGGTCAGAAGGTCCACGCCCCTTCCTCGGCCTTTGGCGTCTGGGCCAGGCCCACCCGAGCCGGGGCTAGTTCTAGGCCACGCCCCTCCTTTGGACGCGCGGAAGGAGAACCGAAACAGCGTGGTGTGGCTAGTTGAATTGAGCCAATGCAACTAACGCGCCGAGGCCCAGCACTGGTCGTGTTCCGCAAGCGTCCTGCGAGGCCGCCCTGCCCCGCTGTTTTCCGGGCGCCCTCTTGGTTTTGCGCCTGCGCGTTGCTCTCGCGAGCTCGGGTTGGACGAATACGCACAGTCTCCGGGGCGCGCAGAAGGGGTGGAGCAGGCATGATCAGGCGCGCGCGCGCGCGTCTGGAGTGACGCTAAAGGAGCAGGCGAGTCGGGAGGATCCAGTGGGTAGAGTGGTTCGGCCAGGTTTTTAGGTGGGCCGTACGTAAGGCTGCTCTGGGCACGAGGGCGCCCATCTCACTGGCCCGCTCAGTTCCCGGAGCCGATCCGGGGCAGGCGGAGAGCGCCGGGTCAGGGGCCGCCGCCGCCGCCGCCGCCGCCGCTGCTCCCGGGGGCCTGCCCGCCAGCCCGCCAGTCCGCGCTTCGCGGGCCCAGCAGCTCAGGGTAAGCGGGCTCGCGCTCGCCAGAGAGGAGCGTGAGATGAGAGAGTGTGGGAGGCCATTGGGACCTGTGGGAAGAAGGGGAATGGGGGCGTGAGTGAGGGGCAGGGGGTGTGAAAAGAGAGAGGCCCATCGAATAGTGGTAATAATACCAACCACTACCACACAATAATAATATTCTAGTGTTATGTGCCAGGACTTTATAAAGCACCTTATATGCTTCATTCTGTTAACCTCTACTACAGTCCTCCGAGGTGTATATTATTGAACCCATTTTACAACATAGGAAAACTGAGGCACCAGAGAGGTTAAGTAACTTACGCAAAGCCACACGGCTAGTTGGTGGCCTGGGTTCGAACGTAGGTGTTTCTGGCCTGAAAACCTGTAATTTTAATATCTTCGCTTTGGGGGGGGGGAAAGGTGGATATAAGGGAAGGGGCGGAATGAATGTTGTTTGGAGAGGGAGGATGATCCAGAACAGGAAGAAAATGATGATGGGAGACTGTGTAAGGGAGAGGACCTGAGTTTGGAACCTCGCGGGCCTCTCGCTTCTTGGTTCTTTTGGCCCCACAACTTTTCCTTGCCGTTCTGTGTTTATGAACCATAGCTATTGCCTGGACCACATGGTTGGTTTTAAGAACTGGTTGAACTGCGGTTCAGTCCAGGGTAGTTGTCCTCGGACACTGTTTTGGGGGCGGGAGTGATGGAGGACGGCGAGGGCCACGGCGGCCGTGTGTAGAGAGGACCCTCTTCCAAGCTGCTTCCATTTCTTCTAACCTGCTCCTACTTCCTTTTCCATCTTATCCTTGCGCGGCAAAGTCTTTGTTCAATTCTCTAGAATAGGGAAGTGATGTTTATTGTCTCTTTGCAAGCTGAGGCTTAAACAAAACAAAACAAAACCGGAAAAACCAAACATTTTCCTAAGCAAGACCTGGTACTCTGGATTGCTTGCAGAGAAAGCTTTCGGTTGGCTTGATTCGTAGTTGCTCTTTAGAGCTTTCCTGGGTAAATAGCTTTGTTTTGGAGAAGTTTACACTATAGGTCAGCAAGAGCGATCTGCACAGATTTTACTGCAGATCAGCACAAGGCAGGGACCTCAGTAATGTGTGTGTGACCTTTCCTTCTTGAACAGTCCAGTATTGGGAAACAGCAGGTATCAGAGCTTGTGTTTTGCTTTCAGATAGAGTGGAGTAGCTCGTGTGGTAGTCACATTTTCATAGAGTGGAGTAGCTCAAGTGGGAGTCAAGGTTTAATGTCAGCCTGTGAGGGAAACTTTGCCTGTGATCATAGTTATTCTTAAAAATTCCTTAGGAAGGTGTGGAGTTACAGATGGACATTCTGTTTCTCAGTAAATCTAGCATAGTTTTTCCTTCAGCTTTCAAACTTGTTACTGTTTCTCTGGTTGCAACTCAGAAAAAGTAGCTTACCTTGAGGGGCTATATTATTGCACAAATAAACATATTTGAATGGGATAGAGTCCTTCCATATTGTGAGGTGTACTGTGCCCTGCTGGCACTGAGAGGCTTAAAAGGAGGAAGACTAACCAAGGAGAACAGTATGTTTGTGATTCCCATCTTGGGATCCTTCTGGAGCATGCGGTCACTGAGTGGAAAGTGGCAGGCAAAACTGACATCATTTATTATTATTTCTCTCTTCTCTTTGTCTAGCATATCCAGTAATTTATGCTAAGCTAAATGTGCATACTGTGATTCCTTTTCAGTTTTTGAGTGGCACTTCCTTTTGGGATTTGCAAGCAATTTACCCACAATTTTCCTAGATAAGGGTTTGGTGTGAGGACGTCTTATATATTTTTGCCAGTGGTATGCACTTGTGTTCCATATTTATCAAATATGTGTAACAAGGGTTAGCTTTTTGAAACTAGCTTAGCTTTTTTTAAGGTTTTATTTATTTATATGAGAGAGAGCACGAGCGGCGAGGAGGGTCAGAGGGAGAGGGAGAAGCCGACTCCCTGCTAAGCAGGGAGCCTGACAATGCGGGGCTCCATCCCAGGACTCATGATCTGAACCACCATCTAAGCTCTGTGGCTTAGCTTTTTAAAAAAATTTTCTTGGAAGTGGGAGTTATGATAGTACCTTTTAAAATTAATGTCTCTGAATTTCAATTTTCTCTTTTTTTTAAGATTTATTTTTTTGAGAGAGAAGGCCAGAGAAAGCCCGAGCTGGGGGGAAGGGCAGAGGGAGAGGGACAAGCAGACTCTCTGCTGAGCAGGGAGCCCGACACTGGGCATGATCCTAGGACTCTGGGATCATGACCTGAGCTGAAGGCAGACACTTAACCAACTGAGCCACCCAGGCACCCCTAGTTTTCTTATCTGTAAAATGTAGAGGAAGGTACCACTGTACAAAGTTGTTGTGAGATTTCTCCACTGTTAATTTTGAAGCAGAACCCCACACTTCGTATCATATCACTATATCTGTTTCACATTATCTCTAAAAGATAAGGACTCTTTTTAAAAAAACCATGACAATATAACACCAAAAAAAGTAAAAAAACGCCAAACAAAAAACCAAAACCAGCAATTGTTCAGACTTTTGTCTTGAAAATGTCACTTTTTAAAAAAATTTCTAACAGTTTGTTTAAAGATCTAATTAGGGTCTATAGATTTTGATTGGTTGATAAGTCTCTTGAGAGTCTTTTACTTTTATTTCTTGCAATTTGTTGAAGTTGGGTTATTCTGTAGTTTCCCACAGTAGTTTCTGGATTTTGCTGATTGCCTTTCTGTGGTATCATTTAACCTGTTCCTCTGTCCTCTTTATTTCCTGTAAATTGGTCTAGAGGTTTGGTCAGATTCAAGTTAGATTCTTTTTTTTTAAAGATTTTCTTTATTTATTTGACAGAGAGAGAGACAGCGAGAGAGGGAACACAAGCCGAAGGAGTGGTAGAGGGAGAAGCAGGCTTCCCGCTGAGCAGGGAGCCCGATGTGGGGCTCAATCCCAGGACCCCGGGATCATGACCTGAGCTGAAGGCAAATGCTTTAACGACTGAGCCACCCAGATGCCCCTCAAGTTAGATTTTTTTTCAAGATTTTATTTATTTTATTTATTTATTTTTTAAGATTTTTATTTATTTATTGAGAGAGAGAGTGATAGAGAGAGAGCATGAGAGGGGGAGAGTCAGAGGGAGAAGCAGACTCCCTGCTGAGCAGGGAGCCCGATGCGGGACTCGATCCCAGGACTCCAGGATCATGACCTGAACTGAAGGCAGTCACTTAAACAACTGAGCCACCCAGGCGCCCGAGATTTTATTTATTTTAGAGAGAGAGCGTGAGCGACAACACTGGCCACCCCCCCCCACCTGCCAGCCCAGGCATGAGTCGGGGGAGGGGAGTGGGGACAGGACAGAGGGAGAGGCAGAGAATCCCAAGCAGACTCCCTGCTGAGCACAGAGCCTGCTGCAGGGGTTTATCCCAGGACTCTATGATCATGACCTGAGTGAAATCAAGAGTGGGACACTTAACCAACTGAGCCATCCAGCTGCCCCTCAAGTTTGATTTTTTTTGGCAAGTATAATTTCTTAGTGGTGATGTGTTCTGTCAGGAGGCACATAATACCTGGTTGTCTCTTAATGTGGTTATTGCAGCCATTGTGATATTTTAACAACTTTATTGAAGTATAATTTACATACTATAAAACTTGGAGTTCAGCGATTTTTAGTAAATTTACGGAGTTGTGCAGTCATCAGGTAGTTGAGTTTGGTAACCTTTCCATCACCTCAGTAAAATACCTTAATGCCTGTTCCCATTCCATTGCTGTAGTCTACTTTCTGCTTTTATAGATTTACCTTTTCTGAATATTCCATAGAGATGCCATTATGATTATTGCCCAGATCTATGAATTCTTTAGGAGCTACAAAACAGTGATATTCTTTTTTTTTTTTTTAAGATTTTTTTTTTATTTTTATTTGAGAGAGAGAGAATGAGAGAGAGAGAAAGCACATGAGATGGGGGAAGGGTCAGAGGGAGAAGCAGACTCCCTGCCGAGCAGGGAGCCCCATGCGGGACTTGATCCCGGGACTCCAGGATCATGACCTGAGCCGAAGGCAGTCGCTTAACTGACTGAGCCACCCAGGCGCCCCAAAACAGTGATATTCTATCATTCTGTATTTGTTAGCTTTATAACTTCTATTAAAAGAAACTTTCCCTCAACTCTGTAGTTACTTAGTACAATTTATATAGGAAAGACAAGATAACATATTTTTAAAAAATAAATTAACTAGCATTCTCCATTGGTGACCAATAGCATTTATTTTCTTAGGTTTAAATCTGTGAGTTTAGGGGTGCCTGGATGGCTCAGTTGGTTAAGCATCTGCCTTGGGCTCAGGTCGTGATCCTGGGGTCCTGGGATTGAGGCCGCCCCCCCCCACCCCCCGCTGCTCTCCCTTCTTGTGCTCTCTCATTTTCTCTCAAATAAATAAAGTCTTAAAAAAAAAAAATCCATGAGTTCATATGAACTGTCTTAGAAGTTTGAAGACATTGTAGTGACTATTCATAATAGTGTTTCTATTATCTTTTATATATATATAAAATATTTTTATATTTTACTCAGATTATTTCCTGAGTTCTTTTGACACAACCTTGAGAGCTTCTTAGCTGGCGAGCCTGGTTCTAAGGGTTTAGTGTAAATACCTAATTATCTTCTTTTTATAAGCCTGCTTTTTTCTGCTTCAAGACCAAAGGCATTTTTTTGCTTGGGTCCCTTTTGCTGTTTGCTTTTATGGAAATGTCTCCATAGTCATACCCACTTCCCCTAAAGTAGTTTATGGTTGTGCTTGAAATGACACCAAAAAGGAAGTGCGTTGTTTAAGTTAGGAAAATAAGGAAGTGAAGTGGTGCTGATTTAACATTAATGGGCATAGAAATGGCTTTCTGCCCTCCTGCAGGGGAAAACCTTAAACCTTAAACGCAGTTTAGAATCTAATCAGTCCTAACATTTTCTTAATTATGGTCATATCATGGAATTTACTCCACACTCAGTTTGAACTTCTGCCCTTTACGGATGTTTTTTATTTGTTCATTTGCAAGCTTTTAATTCGTGCCCATCGTGTACAGGACTGAAACTAGAAGAGATGGTTTCTGCCTTTAAGAAGTGCCCACCCAGGGCGCCTGGGTGGCTCGGTTGGTTAGGCGACTGCCTTTGGCTCAGGTCATGATCCTGGAGTCCCAGGATCACTTAAGTCCCACATCCGGCTCCCTGCTCAGCAGGGAGTCTGCTTCTCCCTCTGACCCTCCCTCTTCTCATGCTCTCTCTCTCTCTCAAAGAAATAAACAAAATTAAAAAAAAAAAATTGCTGGAATTAAAAAAAAAAAAAAGTGTCCACCCACGTTTGTTAGGAAGTTACCACAGTCTACTTAAGTTTCAGAGTAATTATAGTCAGTCTCCTATAATTTCAGAAAAACATCTGTTGAAGTGTTGGGTACCTTAAATAAATGTACTCTTTCAGGGTTGCTGACAAACCAAAAGATCAGTTTCTCAGAATTTTCTCAGAGAAATGATGACATTTGAGAATGAAAATTTTGTTTTGATCTAGATTCTTATTGTTGCATTTGCCTGGCTTGAAAGTAGGAAATAAAGATTAATTTTACTGTTTCTAGGAATTTTCCTCTGAATATATATCTATATACTGTAGCCCACTCTGACGTTGAGGGTCCACGTGGTGGGGTTGCCTTTTTAAATAAAGGCCATTACAATAAGCTTCTCTGGTCTTTTTGTAACTAAGCATCTCATTATTATAATAACAGCATTACTCTGAAGCTGAATCATGTTGAGTTTTATCTTGCAGAATACAGTTCCCCTCCATAGTTTACTCCCAGAATATGAACTATAACTCATTATGCTTTCTGTTTGAATTATTTACACTTGCCATCTTCTCTATTCCTGTTCTTGAATTGCTTAGTTTCTTTATATTATTATGTGTTTAAAAGTAGACATTAATAATTCCAATTCTTATTTTCATTGTGGTAGTTAAAGTTTCAAATTAGCAGATGGCGTTGGTTTTTACCACTTAAATCCCTAAGTTCATGATCTATTTGCACAAGTCTAAAGAGGCACTATATTAAGTTAGTTAATTGCCTCTAGTTATATTTGACTTTTGGATTGTGGAGAAAAAGAATTAACCCTTTTATAGGGGGCAGAGGGAGGAGTCCCATGACCATATTCACGATGTAGTTGTTAAGACTTACGTATGAGAGTTTAGGTCTACATTCTTTCAGGCTTTCAGAGATCCTAGTACATACATTTATTTTGTTTATTTATTTATATATATATATTTTAAAGATATCCATTATTACCACCATTTCATTTATTTTTTT